TTCCCATTCGATCGTCCAAACGATTAAAACGGTCGTCAATCTCGGCATCTCGTCGTTTCGGCGGCATCGAAAATCGTCCTGGTTAACTGATACCAGATGATGAAGGAAACATACGATGGGATTTGTGATAACAGAGAAAACTCTCAAAACGATGTTTTATTTCATAAGCAATAATCTGCTGAATGACAAAGAGAAAGAGCCTTATATGCTCGACACTTAACGACCTAACAATAAATCTTAAAAGCCCAATAATACAAGCCCAACAGTACTAAATAAAAGAAACATAAAATATTAATGATAAATAGAATAGTGATCAAACGAGGGGTCGGAGACGATCATGTTTGTCGAGGAACACCAAAGCACTCTCGTCGGCATCATTTGGTCATTTGCGGATGTTGTTTAGTTGTGTTTTGGTTGCTTTGTCTCAGTCTTAGTGTTAGTGTATTGGCAAGGGCCGTTTGGGTCTCGTAGGGGAGTTAGCTCATAGCTCCTCTTGTTCTCATCTTCTTCAAGTTTGTGTTTGGGGTAGTTTGACTTATAACTCGTTGGTTATGTGTACATTATGAGTTTTCTATTATGAAAATTTGATGGTTGAGTAAAAATAAAATAAATTGGTAGGAAACCTCTATACTTGTTTGATACTTTTAACTGCCAAAATAATGAAATACCAAAGCACAAACCACAGGGCTAAAAATTGATGAAAGCTTCACAATAGAAGTCAATTTCCAATTGGAATGTGTTTTGTCACACCTCTTTGTATTGCCGTGGATCTCAAACAATGGCGACCTTGGCACCGGCCTCCTCGAGCTGCTTCTTGGCTTGGTCGGCCTCCTCCTTGGACACGGCCTCCTTGAATTTCTTCGGCAGCCCCTCAATCAACTCCTTGGCCTCCTTCAAAGCCAAACTGGTCAAAGCCCTAACCACCTTAATCGTGGGGATCCTAGCGTTGCTCGGCACGTCCTCTATGACCACGTCGAACTCTGTCTTCTCCTCCACGGGTGCGGCAGCCTCCGCCGCGCCCGGAGCGGCGGCGACTGCGGCTACCGGCGCGAACGACGCGGCCGAGACGCCGAGCTTGTCCTGGAGGTACTCGACGAGCTTCTGGGCGTCGGCGAGGGTCAGGCTCGAGATCTCGTCGCCGAGCTGGACGACCTTCTCGGGGGCGTCGACGGCGGCGAGCGGGCGGAGGGAGGGCGAGCGGCGGCGGAGGGGACTGTTGGAGGATGTGAGGGGGAATTGGAGGTTGTGTGTGGTGAATGTGGCGGAGGGGAGAGGAGGATAAGCGGCGGAGGAAGTGGAGGGAGGGCGTAGAAGAGCAGAGGACAGCGTCGACGCCATACTGATTTTGTGAGCGAGAGAGTGGAGTGGAGAGGAGGA